TCATACAAAAAGCGGCCGGAAATTCAAATATGAAGCGGATTTCACTCGAAACGGGCGGTAAATCACCGCTTATTATCTTTGATGACGCGGACATCGATGCGGCCATCGCTACGGCTGTTAGTATTTTGTGTCTCATTTGCATTTAACTTATTGTTAATTAAATAACTTTATATTTGTATAGCATCAATGTGTGTTTGCAAACAGCGGACAAATATGTGTGTCTCCGACCCGTCTCTTCGTTCAGGAGGGGATTTATGATAAGTTTGTGGAGAAATCGGTAGAAATGGCCAAAAATAGAGTACAATTATTGGGCGATCCGTTCGCAGAGAAGACACAACAGGGACCGCAAATAGATGACAACCAAATGCAACGAATTCTCAAATATATAGATATCGGTCGTAAGGAAGGGGCAAAACTATTGGCCGGCGGACACCGATGGGGAACTGAGGGCGCATTTGTTGAGCCCACCGTGTAATTAGCTTTTCAATGAATTTAAATTGAATTCAATTAATTTATTAAAAATATGTGTATTTAGTTTTGCAGACGTGACGGACGACATGACGATCGCGAAGGAGGAGATCTTCGGTCCCGTCCAGTCTATCCTCAAGTTTAAGACTTTGGATGAAGTGATAGAAAGGGCTAACAATACGACCTATGGTTTAGCCGCCGGTGCCTTCACTAAGGATGTAAACCGAGCCCTCAAACTGACCAAAGACTTAGAGGCGGGCAATGTTTGGATCAATACGTACTTTGCATTCAAACTTCAGGCGCCTTTCGGTGGTTACAAACAGTCAGGCATTGGCCGCGAGTGCGGCGAGGAATCACTTCATGAATACTTAGAAGTGAAATCGGTATTATATTCACACTTTTATTTATCCATTAAATATTGTATTAAATGTTTTTATTTATTTATTATTAGGTTGTCATCAAATTAGACTAAACAACTATTAATACTGCGATTTTTAGTAATCTAAGCGCCACTCTTTTAAATATAAATTTTATAGTTTTTTAAAAGCAATAATTATTATGTATTTTTTGACAAATATGTATTTTTAATAATACAACTACTTTGACAAATAAATATAAATTACAAATGCTGAAATCTCTTTGCTATTATAATATTTATCAAAAAATAAGTTTTTTCTCAACTTATATATTAACAAATTGGACCACTTGCCCTTAAAAGAAGTAGAGAATATTGTTGTAAAGTTTAGTGTTTAAATCAGTTATTTGTTACATCATGTTAAACCTTTAATTGTGTCTCATTTATAGTTTGATTGAACTACTCTTTAGTTTTCATCATAAATCATGGCTTTAGTTATTCCCGCAATGGCTTCGATGGCATCGGATCTCTCCTTAGATATGCGGACACTGTTTGGTTGGACATTGTCTACACGTTTGGTTTCTTGGATTTTATATCTAGTTTAGTCATATTTTAAATGCTTTAATAAACATAAAAATGTTATATTTATAATGAGAAAATAGATAACATAAAAGTCTAAATAAATTAAAACATTTGTTTCATTGATAAAAAGTGAATTTATTTCGCGATAAGTTTCTCATACACAAGAAATTCAAGGCTTTCTGTTATGAATCGGCAATTGATTGAGAGATGAGTTTCACACCAACTCCTCATCTCTTGATGATTTCATTTCGCTATTAATCTAAATATTTATTTCATTTTTTATACAAAAGTTTTAATGTGACTTAAAATGAAATCCAATACGTCTTACATAATAAAAGTGTTGATTTTAATTGCAATTTACTGTAATTCAGTAAATGCTGTTAAATTAAAAGGAGTTACAGTAGAAGTAATTATAATTAACTGTTTATTCATTTAATAATTAAAACAATTAACACATTATGTAACGGTTTCTTAGGTCACGCCTTATGTCTATGTAATGAATAATGAATTTTACGGCTATTGTGTGGATGTTATGAATGCAATCGCAGAGATATCGGGCTTTAACTATAGCTTATATAAAGCTCCCGATGGAAAACACGGTGAAGTGTCGCCCACCGGTGCTATCAATGGCATCATGTCTGAGGTTTACTATGGAGTATGTGTTACGATATTTATTATTTAACATTTCATTTATAATTATTAATTTGTGTTCATAAAGTTTACCAAAAACTATAAATAGCATTCATTTTATTAATTTTTACCATAAATAACTAAATTCTATAATTATCACCAAAATATACGAATGGATGGTCTGATAGGCGGCCGACTTTGGTTTGGCTTCGTTGACGGCATCGGAGACGCGGAAACGATACGTGGATTTCAGTAAACCTATTATGAACTTAAGTGTGTCGGCACTGATCCACACGACAAACGCCGAGTACATCGAGACGTTCCGCGATCTTCCCCGACAGACACGCATCACATACGGCACGACCGGTCGGAGCCGAATGCAGGACCGCTTCTACAACCGGCGCAATGACGGCTCCAAAGACTACATCCAAACGATGTGCGACGCCATGCGTTTGGGCAACACTTTTGTGGCCAACACTACGGAAGGCATACGTCGGGCAAAAGTGACTAAATTTGCGTTCATTCAGGAATCGGTGGCCAATGAGTTCATTGCGGCCAATGATTGCGATTTGGTCTCCATTAGGGATTATAACGACTACTTTAACTCGCAGTACGCCATAGCGGTGCCCAAAGGGTCGCCGTATTTGGCCAAGATCAATTATGCCATCTCACAACTCGAGGCTAAGGGTTTGTTTAGTCGCTTAAAAGCCAAGTATTGGAAAAGTCAATGCAATTCAACGGCCGCCACATTTCGGTTCAATTCATTTGTATTATTATTTATTGCAATGTTTTTGTCGTGTGTTTTCATTTAATTACTATTGATTTACTTTATGTGTATAAATATTATAATTTTTATTTCATAAAATGTAATTATGTTTTCATAATTATTACTTGAGAACATTGATTTTACTAAATATTGGTTATTTTTAAGAAATATTAATACTATGTCATAATTGTGTGCACTTATATTTATAGAATTTATAGTAAAATAATTTAAATTAGTTTATTTGCCTTAAAATAAAAAGCTGTATTTAAATATCAAATAGAAGTATAACTACTGTATAAAGTAGTATTTATTTGAAACTTTATTTGAAATAAGTAAATTAGTTTAAGGTATAATTTAATTATTGTTATAAAAAAAAGTTACAACTTTTATTTTAAACATTCAACATAAAGTAGAAATAGATAAATTACAAAACTTATTTTAGTTAATTATAAATTTAAATTATAAATTTTAACATATTAATCGAATTGACAAAGTTTGTTTTCTATTAATTAACGCCATATATAATTCACAATATATTGCTTTTTAGCAAACTATTTAAAAAAATTTAATTAAAACTAGCCAACTATTCTAACTGATAATTGCTAGAATATTGCTTTATTAAAGCACTTTTGTAGTAAAATTATATATTAATAAAAACACAATAAAATGCAGTAATTCTGTGACACTATTGTGTTCTCGGAAATAATTAGCATATAGATTATTTGGAGGAAACATTATTAATTAAACAAGGGCATTTTATTCTAAAAATAAGTTGTTATGCTAAATAATTAATTGCATTAAATATGATATACTAAAGAAATGCTACGGAAAAATACACAATAAATTGTTAATATACAAAAATAATGAAAACTATGTGTATCTAAATTTAGTACTGAAAACTATCAATTGTGTGCCTAATAATGGCATAAAGAGATTCAGTCGTAACTAATAATTAATTTATAGGTTTGGAGGACTCGTAGGCTATGGTATGCAATAGTGAACTGGAATTGGAGAACAAGAGGGAGAGGATGTTTAGCATACAATAGGCATAATATGTTTCAAATAATAGGCTTTAGTTTGTAATCTGAATTATTGATGAATTCTGTGCTCATCAATACGTATAGCGAATAATATGCAGTTCAATGAAACCATGGATAATAACACGACGATCAAACATATTTCCAATTGTTAGAATTTCAATCTATAGAATTGTGTTTTTTACATATTCATTTGTTTTATCAACATTTTAAAATTTAATTAATATTTTAGTAATTTTTAACTTTTGTAATATAATAAATACGGAATTTGTTGATAATTAAATTTCAATAATAACAAATTATATTAATAAATTGATGCATTATTTTATATAGTTATATTATTTTGTACAAAAGAACCAAGTGTTGATATTAAAATAATAATTTTCTTATTTCCTGAATTAGCATTTGGTAACAAAATGTTGTCAAAACAGTATCAGTTTGTAATGTTATAAATGATTACAAAACTATAAGAGATATATTCAATTAAAATATACTACACTTTTAATTATAAAAAGTATAACTAAAGAATATATCAAATGCAAAGAAATGATTGGACACCTTATTTAGTCTGTTTTTTACAGAAAGACTATTTTATACAATTTATATCATAGAGTATACGCTTTATAACGATTACGCGATACTACACCACTGCTCTTCTCCTCTATCCATAACTCATGTCATGCAAAGTCCAGTCGACCATAAAATCCATGTCTTTCTCCCATTCAATAACATAATCATATTCTTTGTGTTTGAAAGCAATCATCTCTTGCTTTGACCACAAAATTTAAGAATGTTTTTCCTTGATTTCCGAAAAGTGTTAGATTTTTAAACATATACTTTAAATGTAATTCAATTGCTTTATAAGAAACAATTTCATCAATATATTACAGTACTTGTAATGAAAACATCTTATACATCCATACGATAAACATAAATCAAACAAATGTGTATCAAATCAAACCACACATTGTTTGGTGTAAACCTTGAAATACATCTTATAAAAAATGAAATCCAATTTTTTGCTTTCATTTGCTAACAGTCAGTGACAGACACGGAAAGGCGATAAATACTGAAGTGATTATTAATTACATTGAAAAAAATATTACCACTTCTGGCAAAGATCATGCAATAAAGGGGGAGCTAATGGACATTATAGCATACCAGAGACACTGGCAGAGAGAGAGAAAGAGAGAGAGAGAGAGAGAGAGAGAGCGAGAGCGAGAGAGAG